TACAGTATGTATTATCACAAAATTTGTTTAATTTTTACTAAATATTATTAAGAACCAAATTCCTTGAAATTTTTTGTGCTGCTCATATTTCTCAGCGTACAATCCTAAAAAAAATGCGTTCAGTTTACAAAACTGCCGAACAGTAAGTTTATTCTATCCACTGTTTCATTACAACAAATTATAAAAACACAGTAGAAGTCCGTACTTTATATTAAAAAGCGTCTCGTTTGTTGATATATTAAAAATTCACATTCTGCTGGAAAATTCTTATAACTCAATTGCTGATTTTAATATTATTAGATATTCATTGTCACAAAAGATCCCGGATTATATCCTTGTAGATTCTGACTCCGTGCAGCCTTCAAGATGGCTACCAAAAACTAGGCGGACGTAAGCTCTCAAATCGGTCTTGTAGATGAGAGATATTCGCTTATTAAACCTTCATCCTTCGTTTATACACAAAACACCATAATTTTACCTTGTATTTTGCTTTGTTTTATTTTGTTTTGTTTTGTTTGGGGATAAAGCGTGGTCTCTGGACCTAAATGAAGAACATTGACACAAGCTGCTTGAAAATAGGGTACTGAGGACAAAAGAAATGAGATGAGAACAGATAAAATTGTTTACTTTCAACTGAAACTTTATTAAATATTATTTAAATGTTTAAACGAAGAATAAGGAGATCGGTAGGACACATAGCACGAATGGAGAAAATAAAATCTAAAACACAATTATAATTAATTAACACATAGGGATGCAACCATTTAACACGTTGATGTGAAGATCTTAGAAAAAAGTGTGAGGATGTGGTCAATTATAATTTCCTTCGGGATCTGGACGACGGTGGGCTTTTGTGAACAAAAAATGAACTTTCGGGTTAAATAAATAAAGTAATTCCCTGGGTACCTCAGCACTTATTAGGTTCTCAACATTGACTGTGCTCCACAAGGTTAATTATTCCATAAAGATTTTTCTTGATGTGATGGTTCCATTTAATATATGTTAAGTGATAACGTCTTTACGCAATTTTTAGGAAACAGATTTTTCTTTTTCCTGTAAGTTTGTGATCTAACATACACAAACAAGAGCTTAAAACGAATTAAATATCGTGATGTCGAATTACGACATTCAAAACAGTTACAGTACAGAACAATAATAGTTTCTGATATAATACCTCTGCATATGTATAACGTGGTACATACAACACAGGAAATAAATCAGATATCAGTAATTTAGCTCTAATTCTTGCCTTAATGTTCTGTGAACGTTCAGTAAAATTTTGCTTTACTTATCATATTATTTTCAAAACTGAGTATTATAATTTACAAGATGTCAGTTTTTTTTAAAAAAAAATT